CCTGTAACAAAAAACCCCTCACTACAAATCACCTCACACAAGCTGAATGGGTAGAACTATCTACCATGGTCCTGTTCTGTCACCATGTTTGTTCGAGGTCGAGGTAGATACGGCTATCTCTTGGGCACCACTACAGCCCCCGCCAGAATCAGATCCTTCATACCCTACTTGGGAGGCCGAAAACTCCTTGTTGATGGCCTTGCTGATCAACTCTATGGAACCAGATATAGGTCGATTATATCTGTTTCTTCCTACTGCCAAAGCCATATGAGAAGTCACTGCAGAAACTTATTTTGATGTTGGTAATGTTGCACAGCTATTTGAAGTCACTCAAGGGGTTCGCCGAATTAGACAGGGAGAGCTCTCAGTCACTCAATACTACAACATTCTCAAAGGGTTGTGGAAAGAGGCTGATCAGTATCGACAGGTGAAATGGGAGTGTGATGCTGACAATACGCTGTACAACAAGATGCTTGAACAAGAGCGCATCTTTGAGTTTCTGATTAGCCTCAACCGAGACTTAGATGATGTACGAGGATGAATAATTGGAAGAGAACCCCTGCCTTCTATTCAAGAAGTCTTTGCTGCTGTTCGTCGGGAAGAAAGTCACCGGTTCGTGATGATTGGAGGAAACTAGCTCACTCTACCTATCAATAAATCTGCATTGGCTACCGACTCTGCTCTAACAACTCAGTAGCGTTACAATCGAACGAGTGACAACAAACGCCCTTGGTGTGACCATTGTCACAAAGTCGGTCATACCAAAGAAACCTATTGGAAGCTGCACGGTAAACCAGCGCACCTGAAGAACAATAAACCAGTCGAGAGCAATAATTGTGCTCTTCATGTCACTAAAGACACCCAGTCCGTTCATTCAGGCTCGTAAACTGGTTCTCAAGACTCAATCATCTCCAAGGAGCAATAGGATCTTCTTTAAGACCTGATTTAGAAGACCAAAAGGCCAGCTGCATCCACTCCTAATCCGTCTTGTTCCTTAGCAGGTATGACAAACAACTTTTGCGTCCCTTGGATAATAGATTCAGGGGCATCTGACCACATGGCTGGTTTATCTAATCTGTTTACCTCATATTCCCCTTGTCTGGGTAATATCAAAGTTCGAATAGCCGATGGATCTCTATCAGCCATAGCAAGAAAAGGAAAAAATCCTATCTCTCAAAATCTTGCTCTTAATTCTGTGTTACATGTTCCCAAACTTACCTGTAACTTGTTTTCAGTTAGCAAATTTACTAAAGACCAAAACTGTGTTGCTAACTTTTATCCTACCTACTGTGAGTTTCAGGACTTGATCTCGGGGAAGAGGATTGGCAGTGCTAGGTTGGAGAATGGTCTGTATTATTTTGAAGAAGGATCAAGCATAGGTAGACAAGTTCAAGTCGCAAATAAAGCCTTCACTTCTCTTGAAGAAGATAATATAATGTTATGGCATCGTAGATTAGGACATCCCAATTTTCGTTATTTAGCAAAATTGTTTCCTGTTTTATTTTCTAATAAAGATCATTCTCTAATGTGATATTTGTGAACTTGCAAAACATCATAGAGCACATTTTCACTAAAAAATTTATGAAAAATCTTCGCCTTTTAATCTTATTCATAGTGATCTCTAGGGTCCATCCCATGTTTCAAATATTTCAGGTACAAGATGGTTTATATCTTTTATTGCTGATCATACTCGTTTAACATGGATATACCTATTAAAAGACAAATCTGAAACGTTTCAATGCTTTCAAAATTTCTACACCATGATTAAAACCCAATTTGGTGTTTCTATTCAACTTTTTCGAACGGATAATGGTCATAAATATTTCTCTACTATACTCGGTAATTTCTTATCTAAAAAAGGAGTCATTCATCAATCCTTATGTGTCAATAGTCCTCAACAAAATGGTCTCGCCGAAAGGAAAAATTGGCATCTCTTAGAAGTGGCTAGGGCATTAATGTTCACCTATCAAGTTCCAAAATATCTTTGGGGGGAAGTTGTTTTGACTGCCGCATACTTAATTAATCGTATGCCATCTAAAGTTCTCAATTTTCAAACACCCATTCAAATATTTAAAAAATTCTATCAAAATACAAAGTTATTACATTCTTTACCCCAAAAACATTTGGTTGCCAAGCCTTTGTCCATATTCACAGTCAATTTCGAAGCAAACTTGATACTAAGGCCATTAAGTGTGTATTTTTGGGGTACTCTCCTGCTAAAAAAAGGATACAAGTGTTTTGATCCCATCTCTAAAAAATTCTTTGTGTCAGCCAATGTCACCTTTTTTGAAAATCTTCCTTACTTCTCTAAAACTCCTCTTCAAGGGGAGATAAGCTCACAATTCGAATCAGAAGAGAAGTTTTGGGAATCAAAATCAGCAGAATCAGTTCCTAATATCTCTCCTCAAATGTCTTCAGTTCCTAATATCTCTCCTCAAATCTCTCCAGTTCAAAATTCGAATGACACTCAAACTTCTCCATCAATCTCTCTAAACCAAAACTCAAATTCAGATTTTTCAGTGCCTCAAAAAAATCAGCAAACTAAAAATTCAAAGAATCCTAGGAACTCGGTAGATATTTCTCCAAAACTCCAAAACATTTTGTTCCAATCTCGGTGCCAGAAAATCGCAAAGAGGGGGAGGAGTCTAACTGCCTTGAACTTCGTGTTTATAAAAGGCGAAAGAATCTTAACAGGATAATGCAGACCTTTCAACCTATACCAATACTGCCCTATCCTTCAGCCGAGATATAGGAATCAAACGCAACAGGTAATAATCTAAATCTACCCATAGCAACCAGAAAAGGAGTAAGAACATGCACACAAGTAAGAACCTGCACACAACATCCCATTGCTAAATACACATCATATCACAGATTATCTCCTGCCTATTTGTCTTTTGCTCTCAATCTGGCTTCTGTAGAAATACCCAAGAATATTGAAGAAGCTTTGGGGAAACAAGAGTGGCGTGTGGCTGTAATGGAGGAGATGAAGGCATTGGAAAAAACTGGGACCTGGGAGATTATTAAATCGGTAGAAGGCAAGGTTCCCGTTGGTTGTAAGTGGGTTTTCACTCTCAAATACAAGGCTGATGGATCGATTGACCGTTACAAAGCAAGGCTGGTTGCCAAAGGGTACACCCAGACTTACGGCATTGACTACCAAGAGACTTTGCACCCTTAACAAAGATGAACACAGTCAGAGTGATCATGTCCATAGCAACAAATCAAGATTGGCCACTCCACCAGCTTGACGTCAAAAATGCTTTTCTCAATGGAGAGCTAGTAGAAGAGGTGTATATGTCACTCCCTCCAAGATTTGAGAAACACTACGGAAAGGACAACGTATGCAGACTAAAAAGATCACTATACGATCTGAAGCAATCACCAAGGGCTTGGTTTGACAGATTTTCAAGAGCAATCAAAGGTTTCGGGTTTGCACAAAGTCAAGCTGACCACACACTATTTCTGAAGTATTTGGCAGGGAGAATCACTGTGTTAATCGTACATGTTGACGACATAATAGTGACAGGTAATGACAGTAAAGGTGTTCAAGAGGTTAAGGAGTATCTTGGGAAGGAATTCGAAATCAAAGATCTTGGACATTTGAAGTATTTCTTAGGGATTGAAGTAGCAAGATCAAAATCTGGCATTGCAGTCACGCAAAGGAAGTATACACTAGATCTACTCAAGGAGGTCGAAATGCTAGGATGCAGGCCTGGTGAGGTTCTTATTGAACCAAACTTTAAACTGAAGGTTAGTGGAGATAAGAAACAGACTAATAAGGAGAGATATCAACGACTAGTCGGGAAACTCATTTATCTATCTCACACTAGACCCGATATCGCCTTCTCGGTTAGTGTGGTCAGTCAACACATGCACTCTCCAACAGACGAACATCTGGATGCTGTGTATAAGATTTTAAGGTATTTGAAAAGAACACCTGATAGAGGATTGCTTTTCACTAATAAGCATCCATTGAAGATTGAAGCTTATACATATTTAGATTGGGTTGGATGTATCAATGATAGGAGGTCAACGACAGGTTTCTGTACATATGTCGTAGGTAATCTGGTCACTTGGCGAAGTAAAAAACAAACTATTGTGGCGCAAAGCAATGCTGAGGCAGAATTCAGGGCTACAACTCAAGGTAAATGTGAACTGTTGTGGCTTAAAAAGCTAGTCGAAGAAATGGGTATCAAAGTTGAAGGACCTATGAAGCTTTTCTGCGACAACAAGGCAGCAATTAACATTTGTCACAATCATGTTCAACATGACAGGACGAAACATGTTGAAATTGATAGACATTTCATTAAGGAGAAGTTAGAAGAAGGAGTTGTATGTATGCCTTACGTCCCTATAAAAGAACAGCTGGCTGATTTGTTTACAAAAGGGTTGCAGAAATAGACATTCGAAGATTTAGTGAGCAAGCTGGGTCTTTACGATGTATACGAACCAGCTTAAGGGGGAGGGGGAGTGTGGGGAAACACGTGTAATTCTAGGAGTGTTATGGTGTAGATATTTTTAAATTTAAATTTTAACAGAACCTTGTATATAGAAGTTATCCTAGGAGCTAGGTGTGTGACTAATATTCTGATTTCAAATCTGATTGTTATCAGGTTAAGTTAATCCCTTTAAATAGGACTGCCTTGTACACTTTACAATGTATCAATGATATTAGTAAACGACCCATTTACGTAGTGGAAAACAAAAACATAAACAACATGGATCATTCATTAGAACCAAGATCCAGGTACAAATTTACAGTTTGTACAATATATATTAAATCTGCAAAAAAAATCAGTTCAAGGTTTAAGAAATCATATGCACGTTTGGAGGCTCTTCCAAGTTGTCTCTGAGCGTATTTTTATACCGACCCAAGTGTAGGATTGAATCGACGTAGTCGACACGAAGATAATCGCAAGGAACTAAAGAGGGATTTGCTAGATCCTCTTTAGTCTTAAGAAACAAAGAAGAAGAATGAAGAATATTTTGATTTTCAATCAAAACCCAAAACTGGCGTGCGAGAGGGAGGACCTAAAAAAATCATGAAGCTCTCCATTCAGGGCAACAGAGAAATACGGTGTAGAGATACATGTCATGATCCACCTCACCATACGCTCAGGAAACCCCACAGTACGCAATCCCAAAAGGATGAACTCCCAACTCACAGTATCAAAAGCTTTCCGAATATCAACTTTAAGGGCAAATCGAGGTGAAGGACCCCCAAGATGATAATTCCGCAAAAGCTCCTGAGTCAGCAGAATATTATCAGAAATCCTTCGACCTAGGACAAAAGCTGACTGGGAAACCCCAATAATATCCGGAAGCACAACTTTAAACCGATTCACAATCACCGTAGAAATGCATTTGTAAAGTACATTACAACAAGATATCGGCCTAAAGTCCGTCATACGACTCGGGCTCTCCACCTTAGGAACCAAAGCAATCCTGGTGGCATTAACACATCTTGGCATTTCATTAGTAGCAAAAAAATGTCTCACTGCATCTCTGAAATCTGTACCAATAATATCCCATGCCCGCTTAAAAAACAGAGATGTGAATCCATCCGGGCCCGAGGCTTTATCATCCGGGATAGAAAATAAAGCAATCCTAATCTCATCATCAGTGATAGGAGCAGTCAATGGAGAAATCATATCAGGAGAAATGTGGCCAGAAAAATACCTGGAAGCCTCTGCAATCTGAGGTTGACTATGGGCAGCAAGAAGATCCTAAAAAAAACCCACCGCCAAACGCCTAAACCCTGACTGTCAGTAATATGAGTACCATTCCTATCAGTCAAACCGTGGATGCAGTTCCGAACCTGCCTATGGATCAACGACTTATGAAAGAACTTAGTATTCTGATCCCCTAAGTGCAGCCACTGAACACGAGACCGTTGCTTAACGAAAGCCTCCTCATCTCGACAAAGACTGAAATACTGGTTGGCAAGGTTCCTCTCCTCAAAGATGCACTCAGTAGAAAAGGGGTCCCGATCCAAATTTCCCTAGGCTGCTGCCCACCGAGCCCGAGCCTCAATTACCCTGCTGGAGATATGACTGGAAACCCTAATATGTAAAGCTTTTAGCTTCCGTTTCACTAACCCCAATTTCTGCATAAGTCGGAACATAGGATTGCCTACAATAGGCTCGTCCCAAACTGCCTGAACAATATCCCTAAAATTTGCATGATCAGCCCAAAAATTTAGAAATTTAAAAGGGGATGGTACCTTGCCACGGCGGGGACCAAACCGGATGACAATAGAGCTATGATCTGAAACATCTCGAGGTCGGAACTCTGAAACTATGCTCGGTCGATCAAGGAACCAAGAAAGTGATGCAAAGACCCAATCGAGCTTCCGTAAAATAAACCCATCGCCCTGTTGACTGTTATGCCAAGTATACCGAAGCCCAGTAAAAGGAACCCCAATCAACTCAGCATCATGGATACATTGGCCAAAATCATCCATATAACCATACCACGCAGGATCACCCCCTACTCTGTCAGAGGCTCCCAAGATGGCATTAAAATCACCCAACACAAGCCACGGGAGCCCCTTTGAACCAAACACTGCCGACTGATCCCTAAGGAAATCCCACAGATTGCAGCGATTCCTAGGGTCATTAGAACCATTCACAAAAGTAATCCAAAATGAGAACCCCTCAGAAACATGAGTAACCCTACAAGTAATCTCCTGAAGAGAGCAATGAAGACTATGCACAGAGTAAAGAGAAGAGTCCCAACATACTAGGACACGGCAAGCAATAGAATCTATCATATTCGATAAAAACTGCCACAAAGGACAAACAAACGAGACCATTGACTGTAAATGAGACTGCTCAACCTTAGTCTCCAACAAACTAATCAAACCCAAAGAAGAGTCAGAAATCCAATTCCGCACAGCGCGTTGTTTCGAGAAGCCGTTAAGGCCTCTAATATTCCAACTCCTTATCATTGGAATTGGGATAGAAACAAGCTAATAAATCACTTGACCCGAAGCCCCCACTTCCCCCGACCTATCCCCTTTGCTAGGGGTGGCAAGGAAATTGATCCAGATAAGGTGGCATCTGGTGTCTGGAGATCGTCACTATGCAGAACAAGTGAGGCAAACCTGTTGGAAGAGGTAGATTGCCTACTCCCAGAACTCATAAAGGACTGAGTGTTTTTTTTGCAATTTGTAAATCCCATAATACAGTCTTGCTCATCCTCAATAGGAAAAGGGGAATCAGGTTCCGACCTTGATTCAGAGCCAGAAAATTCAGCTCTACTAGCACGAATAGTCTGCTGATACAGGACCAAAGCCAAAGAAGCATCCCCAACTCTAACTGTACTCGGAACTGAAACTTTAGATGGCACTAAAACATCCCTCTCCATCCCCCGCTCCCTCTCCCTAATGGGATCAATAGTGGCTGGCTGCCTCAAAGGCTCGCAGTTCTCAAATTGTACTGCTTTCCCTGGTGCCTTCTGGAAACTAGTAACTATTTTATTCTTACCCTGAGCTATAGCCACAGTAGGTACCTCTGGTTGGTGACAAACATGACCAAAAACACAGCACTTAGGGCACCTCTTGGGGGTCCACTCATATTCCACTGTAATCTGAATAGGCTCCGCAGATAACCAGCACTGAAATTCAATATGACGTCTTAGAGGCTTTGCTGCATCTAGCTCAACACATACCCAGGCATAATCCAAACGGGTCCGCTCTGATGTTGTCTTATCACTAGACAACGGTCGACCTAACATAGAGGAAACCATGCAGAGTCCTTTGTGGGACCACAAAGGATAAGGCAAACCATGCAAACGAGCCCATACCGGAACCTTAGAGATACAGCTTTTATCAAACGTAAACTAAGCATGCCATTGTTGCAGAATAATAGATTTACCCCCAAACATCCACGGTCCTCTCTCAAGGATTGAATGCACCGCATCCTCATCCCTAAATCTGAAAATGTAGAAACCAATACCTGTGGACATAACATCTTCCAACCCCGCAGCTTCCCATGCACGGAAAGCAATTGAGCGGACAGCATGAAATGGCATAGAATACCCCGGGAAATAACCCCCAATATAGCGAAGCTATTCAACATCATTGTCATCAATAACATCATCTGGTATATGTAAGATGTCATCCTTAATATCAAGGTCCACAGCTTCAAGGGTGAAATGGGACCCGACCTCTGTCACTCTAACCTTGTCCGCCCAAGAGAAGGACACTTTTGATGTGCTCTTTCCCATACTTTTCTGCTCTACATTTGGCTTAAGGACTGGCCTTTTTTCACGGGGCTCAGAAATGCCCAATTGAGCTTGAAAAGCTTCTTAGACTTCGACATTTTTAAGCCATTAAACGATTGCAAAGACAAACCTGTAATATCATTAGATTCAAACTCAAGAAAACCAAAGGAAGAGTTTTTGTGATGAAAAACCTTGGCTCCTTAAATTGCCACATTTGAGAAAACGGATAACAAATACTTGTCATCCATCCATGGCTCCAAATCCCCAATCCATAAAGATTTCCCCGAATTCCCGAGAGTTTGTGGCTGTTGGGAGCTTGTTGAGGCAGTGTTTAATGTTTTGGCTTGGGTTGGGGGCAGCACGGTGTTATTTGGGAGTGAGGGGTTTGGTTCGGACATTTTGTCGAACACTTGGTGGCAGGAAAAAAAGGTGTGATTTTGGTGAGTTTCAGAGTTTGAAAGAGCGAGGATTTGTGAAACAGTTGTTGGGGTGAAGAGGGTTTGGTGTTGGAAAGTGGAATGTGGTCGGGAGGGCTAAAGGGGAAAGTCTGGGCGCTGCGCACTAGGGAGCTGGCCGCGCGCAAAGCTGCACGCAAGGCCTGCAGACTTTTGTCGAACACCTTGTGTGCACGATCAAAACTCGACTAGAATGCAACTAACTTTTCCACGAATCTGCAAAATCAAAACCTAGCAAGAAACCAAGAAGAAAAAACTGCAGAAAATCACAAGAAAATCACACCAAAACAGGTCCACGAAATGGCATAAAAACCCAACCCAAACCGCACATTCCCGTGAAAAAACAGTGGGTTTTTCCCAGAACCAGAGGTTAACAAGGTGCAAGGAGATGTGGGGATTGTCGATCTTGCCCGGATGAGTCAGAATTGGCACTCCATTGCAATTCCCGATTGAAAAAACCCACTGTGAAAGAAAATCTAGATGTGCAGTTTTCGTCAAATTCGACGAAAAAATCCCGACGAGCAGAACCCCTAACTGAGGCAATGACAAAACGACTAGAAAGAGGGTTGAATAAGCTTTCCAAAGACGGTTGGATCACCGGATTCCAATGCCGGATGCGTCGAGAATAAGTAGGCAAAGTACCGACAGTGACCACGAGTTAAGAGCAAAAAACACTTGAAAAAAATTCCTGTTTTCCCTAACCCTAAACCCTTGAAACACTTGAGCATCAACTCGATTCCACTGTGGCCACAGATTTGTGATCGTAGTTCCAAACCAAATATCTCCCTAAGATAAGATCTCCTATAACCATGAGTGATGAATCCTTTATTGATCCACCACAGCCATAGTGTACTTCTCAATGTAACCAATTACCACTGTTCCAGTAGTCCCTAAAAGAGATGATGTTAGGCTAGTGTCAAATCACATCGATAATTACACATGGTACTTTAGTGATCTCAAGTCGAAGGATCACATGCTACACCATCTGTAAGAGGATATATATTCCATATACAGTAGGTTTACCATCTTGTATGGAATCCTCTGATGGGTCATTCCAGTGGACTTGCACAAGCAAGCAGCCATGTGTCACGCCTGGTTGATACTCACAACCTTGACATGTGAGATCTATCGCTACCTTTCGATAGGGTCATTCAACATGTATAATCTGTGTCCTACGTCAGATTTATGCTACGACTACAGATAGTTCTAGATTGCCCACCATATGTGCTCATAGGGTTCTCACAATTAAGATTTATAGCACTTAATTCCCTTGTCATAGGTTTCAACCTTTCTAAGGGCATATACTATTTTATTATACGCAGTAAATAGATATTATAGTATAGATGCTTGTAAATAAGTCGTGCTTTTTATTCATATACAAATGATGTTTATAAGAGACAAATTATTAGCTCTAGTGCACTTACTCTAACAATCTCCCATCAGTAGGTACTATTTTTATTTATACATCACCTCTCTTCATGATTTTGCTGATGAGATGGTATTGCCTGAGTATATGCTTGGATCGTTGGTGAGATTGTGGTTTCTTAGCCTGAGCTACGACACCCTTGATGTCACAATAAAGCATGACTGGATCAACAATGCTTGGAACCACTTTAAGTTTTGTAATGAACTTCTTGATCCAAACAGCCTCTTTGGCCCATCACTCAATACTATGTACTCAACTTCCATTGTGTAATCTGCAATAGTACTTTGTTTTCAACTTTTCCAAATCATTGCGGCCCCATTTAGACAGAACACATAACCTAACTATGATCGATAGTCATCCTTGTCAGTTTGAAAATTGGGATCACTATCCTCTTACAGTGAGATTATCTTCTCCTCCTTAAACCAAGAACTCCTCATAAGGTACTTCAGGATATTCTTGACTGTTGTCTAGTGTATCTCACTTGGATCTGATTGATATCTACTATAAATGCTCAAGGCATACGAGACATCAACCCTAATATATAACATGGAGTACATTATGGATCCTATTGCCGAAGCATAAGGAATACATCCCATCCTATCTCTCTCTTCTTGTTTCTAGGACACATTTCCTTTGGGAGATACACGCTATGTGACATCAGAAGAAAACCTTTATTTGATTCTTCCATACTAAACCTTTTCAGTACCTTGTCAATATATGTACTAGGCCCAGCAACCTATGAGATCTATCATGATAGATCTTTATGTCGAAGATGTAGGATGCTTCTTCGAAGTCCTTCATGGAGAAGCTCTTAGATAACCAAGTCTTTGCCGTATCCAAATTTAGTACGTCATTCCCAGTGATTAATATATCATCAACAAATAATACTAGGAACACCACTGCACTCTTGCTGAATTTCTTATATGTATTGTAACTCCCACTTGAGGTACGTAATTAAAGTATGTAGTATTGCCTAAATGTTCATCGATTTGCCCTTAATTGAGTTTACATGTTGTTAATATTGTTTGGTTGACCCTTAGTTGAATTAGTGTTTTGGTTTGGTAGAGTGGTTGCCCCGAAAATTGTAAAGACTTGGTGAAATCTTGATGTTCCAGAATTTGCCGCGGCGACAAAGGTTTTGTAATTGTGTAGGTTCTGTAATTTTTCGTTGCGGCGAAGAGCCGACTGAATGTTTCATGGAAATGTGTTGGAGTAGGTGCCCAAGAGCCAATCAATTATTGTAGAATTGACTCTTTGTAATAATGTTCATTAAAAAAAGGCATTTTATTCTATATTGCGTAAATCATTATTATTGCAATATGTATTGATATATGTCCTTAGAATGGTAGAACCGTGACGAGGGTATCAAATGTTTCAAATCTTGATAGTAAGAACCCTATGAGCACATATGGTGGCCATTCTAGAAACGTCCGTAGCCCCAGTATTATTTTGAAGTAAGGGCACAGATAATACGATCTGGCTATCATAGTGTTGAACGACCTTGTCAAAAGGCAGTGACTGATCTCACTTGTCAAGGTTGTTTGGTGACAACCTGGTGCAACACATGGGTGCTTGTTGTAGGCGAATATACCGCAGCAAGTTCACTGGACTGACCCACCAGAGGATTCCATATGGATGGTAACCCCAGTGTCTATGGAACAAATCCTCTAACGAATGGTGGTGCATGTGATCCTTAGACTTGAGATCACCGGAGCGCCTTGTGCACCGATTGGTGCAGTTTGACACTAGCCTAACGCAATTCTTTTCAGAGTTGTCAATACAGTGGTGATTGGCTGCATCGAGGAGTGTATCAAGACTATGGTGGATTGACAGAGGATTCAT